CCTTTTGTTCTATAATCTAAGCCTAGATTGCTCACCTGTAAGGTCCAACTGGCTTGTAGATATGAGGAGATGTAACTATCGTTTTTGTCACTTTATGCATGTTAGTAGATGTATCACTTTTTGTTACTCCAACTTTAGATAAGACGTCTGCCTTGGGCGTTGTTGCCGTTGCTTCTGAACTCATAGTTGATACAAAAGTATAAAAGGTCAGTTCTTATCAAGCTTTATGTTTTGTTGAATTATGTAATGATAATTGTATATAAAGATAATTGCTTGAACAATTTCAAGTACTTACCTACTACCAACAATAAGTACTCAATAATGACGTAATCTGTCAACTTTATTTATAATGTATTCTACTCTATGCTATATTTGTAAAGACTAAAGATGTAGATAAGTGAAAATTTTGCCAAGAACGTGGGCACTGGCTTATGAATAGAAAGTAAAAACTAACATCTTCATTAGTTGAAAACCTCTTGTACTTAATTAAGCAAAAACCTTTTGGTGGTTTTGCGTTTCTGTCGGTGAGTAAGGTTCTAGGGTTCCACGATGTAGGGGATTGGGTGAGGGTAGGCAACGGTGCTAGTGATAGCTTTGATACCGCAAGCGTCTTTAAGATATGGTGGCCGCTTAACGCTTACTATCAGGCGCATAGAGTAAGTAACCACTCCATAGCCAGGCCCGAAGTAAATACTTACTCAGTAGGCGAGCCTAAATATTACGCTTGTTTGCCACCATTTGCCACCCTTAAAGGGCCTGCGCTTCGTCAAGCGGGAGCTATGTTGTTTCTGTCTCATAGCCATTTGCTATTCACGCTTAACTTAGAGCATGCCATTAATATAAAAAAAAAAACAAACAACATGGTACAATGATAATAATACCAAAATGCATGTTATGACAATAATAATTATCATCAATAATGTTTAGATACTGTCGAGCGATTAGGGAGTTGCTGTGTGTTGACTAATGATTAAAGTGTTTTAGTTTCTAGTGGCGGAAGATGAAAAATCAAACAGCTAGTGTGTCGCTTGATAGCTAAGAGCATTGTTATCAAAGAAATTATCTTAAGTAAAATTAATAATAATAAAATAATATGCATTACCTGTAAATTATGATATCGACATATTCTAGATTTAATGTAAAAGCTGACGCTACAGTATATTCTTTTAAAAGATTTCACCATGGACTAAATATCATACTGAATGTAGCTACAACTTGGCTGCACTAAGCTAGATTTAAGTATCTGGAAAAAATATTTTACACTGTTGGATTCCTTATCAAAAGACATTTCTACATTAAAAATACACATTTAACTTTTTGGTTTTAAAGCTATTAAGATAAAAAGAATTCTAGTACTTATATCAATTATAACAAAAAATAAAGCTAAAACCAAGTATTTCACAGAAAAAAAATCAAGTATGTCAAACCAGACATACTTTTAAAATGGTAAAGTTCACTAACATTTTAGAAAATCACTTCAATAGGTTTGTTATTAGCTGAGATAATTGATTTTTAGGAAAATTTTTCTGTTAATTTGCGAAAATGCAGATACTTGAATTTAGTTTAGAGCAGCCGAGCAGTAGCTGAATTTTATTGTAACTATGTAAGAAAATGGAAAGGTTAACCATGAACAGAAACAAGCAAAACATGACAAGATACAGTGTTTTTTAACAAACTAAATGTCCTGGACATAGAATTTATCAGTCCGTAATTTATCAGTTCAAAATATTTAGAAAATATGTCTATTATATTCTCAGATCAAACCAATGCCACATAGGTATTATCATCAAATGAAGTTCAAGATATAAACTGCATGATTATCATTTCCAAGAAGATGCAAGTGGCTGATGGAAAGGACGATCTCAGAGCGCCTTTCAAGACCTATTTCAGCCTATTCAATTAATCAGATTTTTCATTAATGCTACCTACCTCCAAGTTCCTTCCAACAAGGGTTTATGAAGTGTTATTTGAAAATGATTGTTATTGCAGTGTGATAGTCCGAACACAAGGTGTGAAGAAAATAAAGCACCTAATACTATTTTATGAATCTTTTATTTTAAATATACTACATAGCTTTTCTATTTTAAAATTAAATGGTTTGTTGATCACCAAGGTCTTACTGGGCTTTGACTCGCGTGTGTCAGTATATATCGGTTATGTGGTTTCTGTCGCATAGCCATTTGCTTATGACGTGGAAACTTAGGACACATTATGTAAAATCTCTCATCCCTTACTACAAAATAGCAATGTTTACAGCGTCGGCGTACTTTTCCTTTAACTTTCATATTACAAATCGGAGTAAACATCGGAGTAATAGGATTAAGTAATCTGCTTTCGGCTCCATTTTGACAGCTTCCATATAAATTTGGGAGTCCAAGATTTCTATTTGACAGTGTACTTGATATTGTCCTTACAATTGAAAGAATTTTTTGCATTTTAACTTCAATTCCGATAAATCATAGAAAGGTAATCCTGCGAACTAAGATAACCTAGAGCAGATTTCTTCAGTGGTGGCTCCTAGTATTTGGCCAATAGCTGGTGTTTGTGTCCAAAATTTCTTGGCTAGGATAACCTAAAACCTAAACAATGGGCATTGAATTGACAAAAATGACATTGCCATATTGTCAGTTTATGACACGTTTTAAACCTACGCTCTAGATGCAACGGGAGCAACCAATGCCCATAATTTTGACAAGTTTCATAGTTTGGTGTCGATTCTGGCACAATTCTCTAAATCTAAACTTAAATTTGACAACTGTTTCCTTGTCATTCTCTATACAGAATGAACCAGTGTTACCAACCCTTACCAAAATTTTACCCTAAGTATTTTTTAAATTCCCCTAAAATCCCCTAAATATAGAAATTTATATGTACCTACTTATCTTATTACCTAAATTCTTTCGTTGCTCATAAATTAAAACATTACATATTTAGTTGAGGTAAATTATTTTATTGAATAAATACATTTTTCGAATAGAAAATCAAATGAAAATAAGCTGACAGGCGGTTAAATCTTATTTAGCGGTTTTGATTGGTGGAAGGCAAAGATCTTTAGTGCATACAGCCTTAGGAAACAACTTGCCACACAGTGAGTTCAGTCGTTTCATATTGTGCTGCGTTCCATTCTACGCACAAAACTGAAAGAAAACACACGCTTTGTTTTTCGATTTAATTGAAAGTTTTGTTAAAAGCCCCTAAAAGAACCCCCAAAAAATTCCAGCCCCTAAAAAAGTCCCTTTTAACACTTCTAGCCCCTAAATCTGGGGGCAAAACCCCTAAGTTGGGAACCCTGGAATGAACAAGAGAGGCTGATGTTAACTTTAGTTTTAAGTTTAGAGATTCACGCCAGAATCGACACCTTTATCAACATTGAAACGTCCGGATAAAAAGTTGTACTCAGAATTTTGATTTTGAAGGTAGGTCAGAGCTATGCCAGGGTGGCCATAGTGGCAGCAGGCAACCTGCTTAAACTACACTGTTTATTTCTCGCGTTTGTTTTCTGAGGGTACGGCCAGAGTGCACTCAGATTCAGATTCAGACTCAGAAAACAAGCGCGAGAAATATACAGTGTAGTTTAAGCAGGTTGCCTGCTGCCACTATGGCCACCCTGCTTTAACCTTACCCTGATTCTGAATCTGCGTGCACTGTGGCCGTACCGTACCCCTACGCTCTAAAGGCTGATTTACACTTCGGGAAGTGCGTTTGCGTTCGTTATTTCTGTCTGATCAATCTTTATAGTCTGAATCGTTCGTTTATTACATCTGCAGTAAATCTGAACGGTTCGGTAGTTCCGCTCGATCAGTCCAATGTGAATCTGTTTCCTTGGAGTATTTTGACCGACGAGAAAGATTAATCTGGTTATCTGTAATGTATCTGTCATGTTGTGAGGTTAGTTTCTGTTTGCTGTTAGAAATTAATCTACAGTTGATCGGGCTGTGCGTTAATAGCGATTTACTCAGATTAATCTATGATCACATGACCAAAAATTCGTTGCCTCTGCGATACAAAAACTGAACGTAGCTATTGTACTGATTTAACTCCATAGACTTAAGGCAGAAACATATTAACGTGTCGTTTCGTGTCGTGACGTGTCAGAAGCACATCGGTTTCATTTATTTACTATGGTTAAGGCAGAAACATTAACGTGGCGTGTCGTAACCCTAAAAAAATAGTTTTCAAAATTTTATTCTACCATTTTGTCGGCGTAATCGATATACATATTTAACTTCACAAAGTAACAGCTCTCTAGTGCTAATAGTCTCCAAGTAAAACCGGGGACGGACAGACGGACATGACGAAACTATAAAGGTTCCTTGTTAGGACTACGGAACCCTAAAAACGAGCTTTAAGAGGAGGAGTAAGCTATAGAAACACATTTAGTGCTGGCCTTTTATGATTTACCAATTCCAGGGGCAACTACAGTTTTTTCTTGTAGTTCTTTCCATACATCTACTGTTTATTTTCTGTAACGCCGATTTTTGAAAATGGACCTGGCAAATCTGTGTATGACATATTTGAGGTTCCACGGCCAGAATAAATTTAAAAAAAAACATATTTCAGGTAGGCAGGACAATGTACATTGCCCATAAATTAAAAAAAACAGGTTTTTGGCGGGATTTCATCGAGTGTGGTTGGCGTCTTATTTTAATTATTCTTAAATTCGTTCATAGTGGATATTGTGAAATAAAATTGGTGTGATTATGTGTTACAACTGTCTGCGTAACTGAAGAATTAGTAGAATCGTCAAAATATACGCTATTCCGGTCAAGTGGACGTGAGAATTTTATTGTTGTATTGACTACCTCACAGAAGCTTATCGAAAAAGCCAGCTCGATAAATTTCGTGCCAAACACTTCAAGAAATATTAGAATGCGTCACACCGACATTCTAATGTAAAAAGAAAAACAGAATAATTTAACTTAAGACAAGGCTGTATCGGCATTGTTCCCCTTGCCTTCACTGAAAAGGAAGAACTTAACCAAAAAAAAAACAGGAGAGATTTTATCAAAGAGTAGATTAGATTTTATTTCATTTGTAATATTAATTAACATTATAAAGTTCTGGTTCCAAGTTTTCGACAAGGAAACATGGTTATTGTTTATCTAAATCTTATGGTTACATTAAAACACAAGAAGTAGCAATCTGTACAGTACACTGTTGAGTGTTTTTTGGTACTGTCTAAACTTCAAAGTAAACAAACATTATGAACGTGGATAAACAAGGTAAAATGAATTTACATATTAAAGCAAATCGCATGGTAACAGCCTGCCTGTACATGGGTACAGAATTACAAGATTAGTATTGGTCCTATTCATATTCTCATTTTATGAATCAAAAAGAAAAGAGAACTCTGTTAGTTTTCAAAGATCAATCTACTTTATATACATTTTTGTTGTTTCTTTGATTGACTACTTGTTCTAACAAACTTTTTTTTATTTCAGAGCAAGACTGTGCAGTTTGTTTACAAAAATGTCATCATCCTACTCAGTTGCCATGTGGTCATATTTTCTGCTTCCTTTGTGTGAAGGTAAAATTGGGTTGGGTGGTACAAATAAACTACTTTATTATCATCTACATCAATCATTAATCAAAACAGGTTTTTTTGATGTTTCATATTCATAATTTGTAACACTAAAAATATTAAATTTAAATAAAATAAATGAAAGAAGGTAGACTGCTGAAGTGTAGATGCCAACATTTTATGAACTATGACACCAGTTAGCCTGAAGGCTAGTGTGAATACTAGCCACGGCCAGATTTAGAGGTGAAGAAGCCCTAGACACTCACATCAGAACACAATATTTAAAATAAAGATTATTCACCATCGTAGTTTCAGATTATGTGTGCGATGAAACCTCTTTCATTCAACAAAGCTGAGCACTTAGGTATCCAAGCTTCCGTTTTGCATTTGTTAAGTTCTTATTCACAAAATTGGAGATGGAGGGATTACATTTAAGCGTCATATATTTTTTAAAGATTTGTGTTCTGCAGAGATCTTACCTAGGGTCTTTACTATTCTGTCAATGTTTAGTCTTTGTAAAAGATGTTAAAATATTTCATGAAATACAATCAAATGATGACTTTTACAAAAAGAACAGTAGAACAGAAAAATGACAGTTTATTAGTTTTACAAAGAAACAGAATTAAATCTTCGTCATATGTAATAAAAGGTCTTCAGTTACGCCACTTAGTGTGATTCTTAACTTGGAAAAAACTTGTTACATGTATTATATTTACTTAAATTAAGTTAAGTTATTAATCTGATTGCCCTTAGGCAAAGGCCTCCCACAGAGTTTCTGTTCCATGTCTATCCTGCAACCACTTTTAATTAATCCTTCCATCTCTTTCTTTGTCTTCCTCACCACCTTTTGTCATCTGGAGGATACCACACTGATACTTTTTGACCCATTTATTTTTCCTGTTTCGTATTATGTCTTGCCCATTTCCATTTCAATCTCTTCACTGTGTATGTCACATCTGCCACTTATATATTTAATGTGATATAAATATATTATTATAATGAGTCCAGTTCTGGTACTTATGATTCTCTAAACCTTTTTGTACAATGTATCCATGTACTGCTCTAAATAGATTGAGAAGGGGATACTGTTGTCAAAGTTATTAAGGTAAGAGAATCACTCCAGAATCAGGCTCACTACACTACATGTATTAAATATATGTTAATTTGAATCTTTGTATTAATTACAGGGTGTTGCTATACAAAATAAAAAATGTGCTATGTGTCGTGCAGCAATACCTTCTGACTATCTTGACCATCCCATATTACTGGAAAAATTATCACCTCAACAATCAACTATTGGAACTATAAGTGAAGATTATCAATGGTATTATGAAGGACGGAATGGTATTTTCCCTTTATTAATAATAATAAATAAAATTGTATAAAAGGTGATATTTTGTAAGATGTGTGGTTTTTAAGTACCTACATTATTTATTAGCAGAAGTCTAAAGGATTTTGTCTCCTAAATCCAGTATTGTTTTATAAAATGGGTTCTATCGTTCTATAGCTGCACTTCGAATGATTGAATGAATGACATGAATGAATGGTTGGGACCAATGCTAAATGTAGCAAATTCAAAGTGCAGCTATAGGAGTGAGACTTGTGGACTTCTTACTCTCAAGCTGCAGCTTTGATGTTCTACTAAGCTCACAAGAGATGAGAATGTGGTGTGTTGTAAGTAACTTTTTTGCGACTTTCAGTCAGGGCTATTTGTTTTCTATACAAAACAATCCCTACCTGACATTAAGCATGACTGAATCTCATTTTGCGAAAATAGCTGATACAATAGAAAACAGTGCCCTTACATGCTGGTAGAAACACAATTTGCTTACCCTATAGAGCTTTGGTTACCTCATTGTAGGGATTAAATAACTATCTACAGAACAGTTTTAAGATCAATCAGATCTCTTCTATGTATTTTAGCCCAAGCAATATAGACTAAGAGCCAGTGTTCCGCAGACTTACAGTAGGTATAGTAGCAAACTCCTTTTTTTTTTTTATTTATAGTCAGGCTACATAGGCCCATAGTAAATACCTTATAGTCTAACATATATACAAATATAAAACATTGTTGTTAGTATATAAAAATATATTAATGCTAGTTAGACTAATTCATCTGCCGTAGGTCAAATGGGGGTTCACTATTCCCATAGAGGGTTCCTTTAGGCGTTTCAAAACGTGTTCGCAGCATGTCTGCCGTTTTGAAATCTTAAATTATTTTTTTTTATAGTAAAATTAATGGCAGATACTTGTTCCGGTTCCTACTATACTTTATATAATATCATAGTTTCCAAAATTTCATAAAATTTGCGTTCTTTTAGCAAAGCTAAAAATTGTATATGTTATCTATATTATTATTATTAACATATATAAATAATTGGCAACATCTTTTAACAACTGCGCAATGGCATAGTAGGAGTTCTCATAATTTTCAAGGTTGTGACTTTATCAAAAGTTCCTGAGCCTGTTTTCATAGAAATTATAAATATTCAGCCATTTACCATTAAATATTAATAAGTACAGTATTTATACATTGCCAGGGCGACAAAACTTTACCATGTCCTTTCTGGATAATAATGAAGATTTCATTCATTCTATTCTGTGTTATATTATGATCGCCGAGAGTATATTCATCTAATATATAATAATATAAATAGTGTGTATTCACCTAAATTTGACCAGACCATCGTTTTTACATTAGCGTGACAGAGAGAACATTATATTGTCTACCCGCATGTTAGAATCGTCCTATCTGCCTGATTCTTCAAATATATACCTATGTACAATAATATCATAATTAAATAACAAACATAAGTTTCAGCTGTAACAAGACAAATTATTGTTTTCCTAGGGAGGGTAAACTAATTGCGTGAAGGTCAGGTAACATTCCTATTAAGTTGCAGAGAAAAACATTTATTTTTTCGTCATTGCAGTCGCACATCGCACAGAACCGAAAATTTGAACTGCGCTTTGCGACATCCACAAGCATTGACGTAGTTTTTAGACATGCATCGACAGCGGATTGCTATTTCTAGAACATGTGCTTATGGAGTCTCAGCTCATAACAAAGGGGCCTGTATACCTATAGAATATGCAGCCCGTTATCACTCGTATCAATTAAGTATCTCTTAAGTATATAATCAAGTTGGTTAGGAAATAATTAGACCCTGAAGATTGGGGCTGAAAATAGACTGGCCTTGGTCTCAAACCCATCACCATGTCTCTAGAAATTGCGCCAAAAAAGTTACTCAAAGATACAATGATGACTGGCTGCATCATCTATTATAGGTCTGCAGGCCCTATTGTTATAAAATGAGACTCCATGTGCAGATGTTTTAGAAATATTAACTGTGATGAGAAGCATGTGTAGATAACTAAGAAACTGCGTCATTGCTACGTTAACGACTCGCAACTTTAAAGCATTAATTTAATAAAAAGAAGTTTTATGCAAAGGTTGCAGGGAATTTAATGATGAATGACATGTATTAGACCTTTTTTATCTATTAATGGCAAGGTTTTATAAAGGAGAAACTACAAACATGTTCATATAAACAACAATAATTGGAAAAAGGTAACAGTTACACTAAAAAGTTTTCAACTAAATAAACAGTTACGGAATCCAGTAATTAACAAAAAAGCATTTCATATTTTATTTCGTAAAGACAATAATTTATAAGATAGGTATAGCTATAAATGCGATTTCCAATATGGTGGCTAGTTATGACCACCATAAATTCCCCGATTTTTAAACTTAAGCTTCTTATGACTTACCCTGACATCTGTAAAAAAACTAGTGTGGTAAAATTTTGCATTACGATCAAGTATAGAAGCGATCTCTGTTTCTTGGGCTAATTACATTGCAGAGATAATGGTGAATTTGCTTTGTTGCGTTTCTGAAATTCGCTTCGATGCGCTTTGACTCTGCTCTACTATAAATAGATCGTTAGTTTCCTACCCACGTCTCTAAAATTAAGGACCTTTATAGATTATTGATAAACCTATAGTGCAAATTCAAATCTGGTTTTACTTACGAGTAGTAAATTATTGCTGGCGATGTTGTGTATATATTATCATGTTAGTGCTTATAAATACATATCTATCTACTAGCGGCCGCCCGCTAACCTAAGTTATTTTTTCGGGATAAAAATAATCCTATGTCTCAATCTACTTAATAAACTACACGTATTAGCGCCAAATTTCATCCAAATCGGTGCAGCCGTTTTTACTTGATTGAGTAACAAACATACAAACTTTCACATTTATAATATCAGTAGGAAGTAACTTTTTGTCTGATTTTTGAGGTTGGTGGAAGTATGACGAGCGCAGCAATGATGAACTGGAAATGGCGTTCAATGCTGGAGAAGCAAACTGCTCACTTCTCTTAGCCGGCGCTTTGTACAGCGTAGATTTTCAAAGTATGATTCAAGTCCGACGAAGTGATCCGACTCGACGCAGACATGTTCGACGAGATGTGCCAACGTTACCCGCTAAAGGTCAGTTAGTTCTATTCATCATCATCAGCTTATTAATGTCACCACTGCAGGGGCACAGGCCTTACCTATGGATAGAATAAGGAGATTCGGCCATGACCCACCACGCGGGCTCAGTGCGGAGTGGTGGATGCTAACCAACACACGGGAAGCACGAAGGAGCTTGAGATAGTAAATTTTGGCCACACATCCAATGACACACCACTGCAAAAGTTGCTTAACATCAACGATCGCAGCCGAACACAAGGGGCAACTCTTTAAAGCCAACTAATGGGGCATTCCATGGTGACGATCGGGACATTTTTACTCTCTTTTCTATGTATTTTAGCTTATTTTTGTTCTTATTTTGAATAAATAATATTTCATTCCTTCGTAAATAAATGAGCAATAAAGAAAGAGAAACATACATTTAAGTCATATACATAAATATCTAGTTATTTGTAAACTTCACAATTTATGCAAACAAAACAAAATACTCATTATACGCCAAATAACCCTAAAACGTTAAAGATCACCCTTTGGTTATACACAGCAGTCATCAGGCCCTCTATAACCTATGGTTCAGTTGTTTGGTGGCCCAGGACCCAACTGACCACAGTGAAATCCAAACTCCAAAGTCTACAACGCTTGGCGAGCGTAGCAGCAACTGGATGCATGAGAACAACTCCATCGGCTGCATTAGAGTACCTCATGAATTTAAGACCTTTGGACCTGGTCATACAAGAAGAGGCGAAAGCAGCAGCCTTGAGACTGAAATCTCTAGGATTATGGAGACTGAATACTGTAACAACACACTCTAATATTCTACATAAGTGGAGGCACCTATGGATAGAATATTGAGTCTGTTGTGAATGAAACACTGTTTAGATCAACACTGACTCCTTTATTATTTTCTTACCCACATAAAATATATCATACTATAGAAATACCTGCATTATAATTACCACAACATCATCCTCTTTTTTTTTATGTATATACTTTACACATTAAAGTTTATCTACTTGAATTCATTTTATAATTGAACATTATAAAATAACATACATTAATAATATATATAATTTACCCGAATATATATTTATTACATTAAAACATGCTAACATTCCTTCTTAATATTATTGTTGTTCTTATGTTCTGAATATGGAATCAAATTCAATATACTTAACAGAAATCTTGGTCTTTGGTAACAATACCTAATTGGAGTGAGTTATACAAATTAGAATGTAGATCAAATTCATTGAAAGATGTGTGAATTCATGACTTTTAACAGATTCTTTTGGTTTGATGGAGTATTAATAATAGAACTTTAAATTCATATTTTACATAGCAAAAAAAATACTTAATATTGCTTATATATTATATTATTTATTTATTAAAAAACTTATTTATATTTACGCGAGCTGCCGCAGCTGCCGGTCTTTGTATCTTTTCTGTGTCAGTACTTGCGCCTATGGATGGTATTCCTACTTCACTTTCATGCATGTTAAAAGGTTTGTTTTCCTGCACATTATCTCTGTCAGTATTTAACTGTTGTTCTACATGCCGATTTACATTTTCTTCCTTAACAATTTTATCACCTGTGTTTAGACGCGTCACTGAATGATCCCTAATTAGGTGCTGCCTATTCCGTCGGTACCGTCTCCCCGTCGCGTCTACAACAAAGTATGAACGAGGTTGCGGTGCCCGCGACTGCACACACACCCTCTTCCGATCCCTATCATCTACCATCACCGCCCGTTGTCCCGGTACCAGCTCGGGTAACGACCTTGATCGTTTATCGTAATATTTCTTAGTCATTACTTGTTTGTGCAGTATAGACTCGTAATCCACGGTGTTGTCATGGCTAGGCAACAATTTATTTTCGTGTGATGGCAGCCTAGTATTGAGCCTACGCCCCATAAGCAGTTGTGACGGTGATCAGATACCATCCCTTGGCGTTGATCTAAAGTTAAGCAAACCTAGATAAAAATCGGTACCTGAAGAAATTGACTTAATTAGCATATTTTTTATAATGTGTACGGCTTTTTCACTTCTACCGTTAGATTGGGGATAGTTTGGAGATGTGGTTATATGATGAAAACACCACTGTTTACTGAATTTCTTAAATTCTTTCGACGCATATGCTGGTCCGTTATCAGTAATCAATTCCTTGGGTATGCCGTGTCTCGCAAATTGGTCTTTCATAGCTACTATTACCGATTTACTGTTTTTAGCTTTCAACGGATTCACTTCAATGTAGTTAGGAAAATAATCAACTAGTATGAGATAATAGTTTTTATTATACTGAAATATATCGGAGCCTACTTTCGCCCAAGGTACATTGGGAATAACATGAGGATGTAGCGGTTGACGCGCGGGGCGCGCCGCGCACTCTGTACAGATGGCGCAGCGGCGCACAGCCTGCTCGATGTCCCGCGACATCCCGGGCCAAAACATAACTTCACGTGCATGACGTTTGCACCTATCTATACCCAAATGGCCATCGTGAACTCGACTTACCATTTCAGTTCTTATTTCTTGTGGTATATAAACTAAATTGTCCTTGAAAATTAGGTCTCCTACAAATTCAAAAGACTCCCTATATGACCACTGTCTACGCACTTTTTCATTAACTTTATATTTATTGTCTGGCCATCCGTTCTTTATATATCCTATTAGTAACTGACATTCAATATCTTTACGAATTGCCCCTTTTATTATGTTAAGTTTCGCATCGCTAAATCTGACATTTTCTAGTAAAAAACAAGATTGTTCAATAACCTCGTCACAAATTTTTTCTTTCATCTTATCGGGCAGTGGAGCCCGTGACAATGCATCTGCCACATACATAAATTTACCCGACTTATAAACAACACAAAAATCGTAACATTGAATACGTAACATCATACGTTGCAATCGCGCAGGAACAGAATCCAATGATTTTTTAAATAACGCCTCTAATGGTTTATGGTCGGTTTCCACGGTAACGTCTTTCCTACCATATACGTACTGGTGGAAACGGTCCAACGCATACACAATGGCAAGGAGCTCCTTTTCAATTTGAGCGTATCTACACTGTGCGTCTGTTAGCGTAGCGGAAGCAAACTCGACTGGCCGGCCAGCCTGCAGGAGCACCGCGCCGAGAGCGCGCGAGCTGGCATCCACTGATACTAAAACCGGTTCGTTAGCAGAATACAACGCCAAAACGGGCGCGTCGCACACTGAGTCTTTTAAATTTCGTACTGCTTGATCGTGTGTTTCATCCCAATACCAAATTGTGTCTTTCTTTAAAAGCGAACGGAGTGGTAATGCTAATTCCGAATAATGAGGTATGAATTTTGATAAATAATTAAACCTACCTAAAAAGCGCTCTAAGGAGGGTCTGTCGTGTGGTAATGGCATGTCACGAACAGCTTTTAATTTTATATTATCTATCTGCATACCATTTCTGCTGAAGGTGTGACCTAAATAAGTCACACTCCTTATACAAAACTCGCACTTTTCTTTATTGAAGTTATACTTCTTTAGGCGCGTTATGAAAAAATGATGAGAGTGAAATTTTAAAATGCGCGCGCATCACTGTAACACAAAAAATTAACAGCATGAAGTTGGTCGCTTTAGCGACCAACTTCATGCTGTTACTTTTGTGTTTACCGCACATTAAGAAAATCTACCAACAAAATAGAAATAGAATCTCTATTTTGTGGGTGCTAACGACTGCATTGTAAAGGCCTATCAAAAGTATTTATTAATCTGGAACAACGGAACCAAAGCGCGATTCAGGAGACTACAGCGCCATCTCTTGACCATTGGTGTAGTAGAACCAAAAACCACATCTTTATTTTTTGTAATAAAGTAACAAAAAGTATTTATTAATCTGGAACAACGGAACCAAAGCGCGATTCAGGAGACTACAGCGCCATCTCTTGACCATTGGTGTAGTAGAACCAAAAACCACATCTTTATTTGTTGTAATAAAGTAACAGTTATAGGTATTCATTTTTTCATTTCAGTTATATAAATTGTATATATAAAAGTCAAAAGTATATTTTACGATTTATTATTTCTAAGCATGAATGTCAAAGTGTACTTGGTAAATACGCATGTGAGGAGTTGGGAATAATAAAAAGGATATTTTCTATAAATTTAGACCAATATGAAGATTTATTTCGGGGATTAGGAAAATTGCCAGGGAAATATAATATTTTAATTTGCCGAGATACGCAGCCGTCGGTCTGTTCCGTTAGAAAAATACCTATAGGCGTGCGAGATAAATTACACAACGAATTAAATCGTATGGAGAGTTTAGGCGTAATAAGAAAGGTCACCCACCCACCCTACTTCATGGGTGAATGCTATAGTAGTTGCGGCCAAGAAAGATGGTAGTATTCGTGTGTGCCTTGATCCGCGCCCATTGAATCGTGTAGTGAGTCGCGCACACTATCCGTTGCCGACATTAACCGATATTGCAACTAAGTTAGAAGCACAGTATTTTAGTAAGCTAGATGCTCGCTCTGGCTTTTGGATGGTAGAGCTTAATGATGAGAGTGCCGACCTATGTACTTTCGGAACCCCGTTTGGAAGATACCAATTTTTACGTCTTCCTTACAAAAAGTAACGTAACAAAAGGTATTTATTAATCTGGAACAACGGAACCAAAGCGCGATTCAGGAGACTACAGCGCCATCTCTTGACCATTGGTGTAGTAGAACCAAAAACCACATCTTTATTTGTTGTAATAAAGTAACAGTTATAGGTATTCATATTTATAATATTTATCTACATGTTTCTAGTTTGTATATTCGGAATACGTGTTTGAATTTCATACAAGTGCAAATCACATATGTTCTAATAAATTATATTGAGTAGCGATTTTAATTGAATAATTTGATTATTTATTTATTTTTTCAAATTAAAACTGAACTTTAGTGACTGTCCTTTTCCAGACTTTATTAATTTATTGTAATTAATTATTTGCATGCAATTAAAAACTAATTTTAAACGATGCCAAAGAAGGATAACTTCTCACACGCCTACATAAGTACACGCGCCCATTTTTTAAATTTTATTCCAGCTTGACGTGCTCTAGTCCTAGTCTCAACCGTTCGTTGTGGAGGGAGAGTGTACCCAAACCAAAATATCATCTACGAATGACTCTACACCTTCTAGACCTTCTAGTATTTGACGGACCTTGGCATGAAAAACCTCCGATGCGCAATTTATACCGTAAGGAAGACGTAAAAATTGGTATCTTCCAAACGGGGTTCCGAAAGTACATAGGTCGGCACTCTCATCATTAAGCTCTACCATCCAAAAGCCAGAGCGAGCATCTAGCTTACTAAAATACTGTGCTTCTAACTTAGTTGCAATATCGGTTAATGTCGGCAACGGATAGTGTGCGCGACTCACTACACGATTCAATGGGCGCGGATCAAGGCACACACGAATACTACCATCTTTCTTGGCCGCAACTACTATAGCATTCACCCATGAAGTAGGGTGGGTGGGTGACCTTTCTTATTACGCCTAAACTCTCCATACGATTTAATTCGTTGTGTAATTTATCTCGCACGCCTGTAGGTATTTTTCTAACGGAACAGACCGACGGCTGCGTATCTCGGCAAATTAAAATATTATATTTCCCTGGCAATTTTCCTAATCCCCGAAATAAATCTTCATATTGGTCTAAATTTATAGAAAATATCCTTTTTATTATTCCCAACTCCTCACATGCGTATTTACCAAGTACACTTTGACATTCATGCTTAGAAATAATAAATCGTAAAATATACTTTTGACTTTTATATATACAATTTATATAACATGAACCAACAATTGAAATACGATTGCCACAAAAAGACTGAGCTCTCGTATTATCATATTCTAAAATAGATAATTTAAAACCTAATTTCTGAAACTTGGTTCGAGACATGACATTCAAATCTGAACCAGTTTCTAATTTAAATATTTCCTTTTTATTACTAGAAGATAATGTTAAGGTTTCATACCATTTAGAGTCCTTATTACTTCGAACGTTGTTAACCATCGACACGTAATACATATCTTGATCATCACTATCATACTGCTCCTGTATTTGGAAAACTTTACTCTTCAACCTGGGACATGCACTTTTGAAGTGACCCTTTTCACTACACAAAAAACACAGGGCATTTTTAGCTGGACAACGATAACCACCATCACACTGTGGCTTCCGACACCCTTTACACCACGGCCTACCGGAATCGCGTTGCAGTCCCCTCGAGTATGTACGCGCACCACCATCGGCTCCAGAAGTCGAAGGCTGCAGTTGGCGGGGTCGACCCCGGCCCCAACGGGCCTGCTCCACCCGCGCTGCACCGCCACGCACTCGCCACACTCCGCCTGCGCCACCATATACGGCATCCACTGCCGCTGATGATGACATGCCACTATAGCTACTACCAGTCTTGGTTGCTTCGAGCTGTCGTTTTTCTTCCACGGACATTTCGCCTGCTTGACATATTTTTACTGCCTTTGCCAAAGTAAGATCATCCGCTATGAGTAACCGATCACGAAGATTAGTGTCGTTTATACCGCACTCTATGCGATCGCGTATTAAGCCTTCTTCGAGATGTTCGAATTGACATTGTTGCGTAAGTATCTTCAGAGCCGTGACGTATTCATCGATAGATTCACCGCTCTCTTGATTTCTAGTGAAGAATTTGAAGCGAGTCATTGTCGTGTTTTGTTTTGTACCGAAGTGTTCATTGAATTTATTTATCACCAAATCAAAATTTTCATGATCTTCTGGCTTTTCAAATTTAAATGTAGTAAAAATGTCATAATCTTCAGAACCTATTAAATTAATGAGTAGACTGGCTTGCACGTCTGTCTTTTCCTTATGAACACCAGATGCCTTTAAAAACACGACGAATTGCTTGTACCATTTGCGCCACGCGTCGGCCTGATTCGCTGGCCCACCTTGAAGACATAATTCCGAGGGCGGTCGTGCATGTTCCATGTTTTTTTTTTGTATTTATTAATATTTTAAATATCAATCACCAACCAAGACACAAATTATTACTATTTTAATCAATTTTTTATAAGTTGTGAATGAAACACTGTTTAGATCAACACTGACTCCTTTATTATTTTCTTACCCACATAAAATATATCATACTATAGAAATACCTGCATTATAATTACCACAACAGAGTCAACACGTCTTTGATCGAAAATACAACATCCAACTTACCGCAGAAAAGGCAGATTACTCTGGCGCCGGGGAAGTTAGGATATACACGGATGGCTCCAAAACCAACAGTGGTACTGGAGCCGGTGTCTTCTCAAACGACCTGAATATGAAAATATCTACAACCTTAGGCAAACAAAGCACAATCTTCCAGGCGGAATGTATTGGCATTACCAGAGCAGCACAGGCGGTTGCAGCCAGAGATATCAGAGAGTATAACATCAACATCATCTCTGACAGTGCATCCGTGCTTCAAGCCCTACGTAGCAACACAATAAACTCTGTCCTAGTAATGGAGTGCCATAAAGCACTTTAATCCATTGCGGTTAGCAACACGGTAACTCTGCAATGGATAAAAGGACACAGCAGCTCAATTGGAAATGACGCAGCAGACGAACTGGCTAAGAGGGGAGCAGACACAAAAGTGTATGGTCCGGAACCTTTGCTGCCCATACCTCAGGCCCAAATTAAAACGTGGCTGCGTGAAATAACTCAGAAATCACACTTGACGGAGTGGAAAACAGGTGAAGGATGCCGGAAAACGAAAAACGCGGTTCCGGCGGCAAATAAAAGTTTTTCCCGCACCCTTACCAGACTAAATAGGGACAAACTTCGTAGGATTATAGGATCCCTGACTGGTCATTGTCCCCTAAATAAACACCTTTATACAATAGGAGTAACAGATAGCCCCCTATGCAGAGGATGCATGGAGGCAGAGGAAACGCCACAGCATGTCATCATGGAATGCAGGAGTGTGGCCGACCAACGGGCACGACTTCTCCAGTCACCAGAATCGTTTCCAGAAGCTTGCAGCAGTCTACCAAGGTTGCTTTCCTTCTGGACCGATATAGGCTGGCTGGAGTAAACGGGAATGTTTTGAGACACGCACAATGGTCCAATAATTAGGACTAAGCGCGGAAACCGCCCTGAAGAACTAACTAACTAACTAACCCTAAAACGTAAAAAGAAAAAAAATGTCATATTGTAAATAAATACCTAACGATTTCTCCCGAAAAAAGGGCGAAATCCTTAAAAGTGGAAACACTGGTACTAAACCATGTCAGGGACGTATTAAGACCTTTGTGATTGCGACGATACAAAATTCCTGCCAGGAATTCAACTTATGTACTAGGTATTGATATTTTGAAAAAGAAAACTTTAACATAATTTTACTTTTTTTTATAGCTAGTTAGGCAAATGACTCTACCCCACCTGATGTTAAGAAAAAAATAAGACCTGATTGGTATTGATTTAATATTTCATTATGCATATCATGAGGAAAAAAAATCAAAAAGTTTAATACTTATTCAAAAATTTAATGATGGAATGAAAAAGTGACAACTTTGTTCACATTTAATTATATTCTAAATTATATCAATATAATAATTTAACATTTTTATCTAGTTGAAAGAAAATCTGTAAGCTAAAACGTAAGAAAAAATTAAACCAAAAAAGATTTTTGCGTCTCCATATCTGTATTAAATTATGCAAATAAATGCTAAGATTTCTTTTTATGCCCCGACTCATGTGGGTCATCGTGTTTACAAGCTTGTAGTTTGATTTTACTTTCGCTACTCACCGTGTTGGCGCTGTTGGCATTCAGCACCACACCCCGCTTCATCTATTAGTGGTTTAGCTTGATTTTTTAGAGTAAGCCTCCTCTTTGTTTTTGCGCCATCATTATTGCCACCAACATCTTGGTCCTTCGGGCCGGATCCACCGTTAACAGTACTGCTAAGCTAAATACTGAATAAATTGTTTCCTTGTTTTTTTAGGTATAGCCGGAATTAAAACCTTTGATAACAGACAAACCGAACCAACGAAAACAAACACTGAAAACGACTCTAATGAAGTGGAAGTCATCAGCAACCATTCTGAAAGTGAAGTTATTGTGATTGATGATGAAGAGGAAAATGATGTTGCTCCAAATGTGAGCGCCCATTCCAATTCGTCTATTGAAATAATTAATGTTTTTAGGTAATTAAATGACGATTATTTTTTCAATATTATCGGTAACAGAGATTAATAGATACCTTAAAAAAAGTATCTAAAATACAAGATACTAGCTAGTCAAGTATTTAGATAACAGATACAAGATACATTTGAAAAAAGTATTTGAAATACCAGATACAAAATACGTATCTTCTAAATACATTTTAAAAATATTAATACCTACTTTTTGAAATAGACACATTTTTGTTTGTTTTAAGGTTTATTGTATTACAATGCAAAACATTTTTCTTAATTTAAAGAATTAGTTATGCTGAAGTCCGATTTGAGTAAATTTATCCGCTCCGCTCGAATTAGAGCGCCCGTCTGGGGAAGAAACTTTCACCTTTCATTATTAGACCAACCAATAAAATATCACTACATTTTGGGTGGTATTGTGTTTCTGTCGGTGAGTAAGATTCCAGGGTATGTGGTAGAGAAGTGGATCAGAGAACAGTGGATCAAAAACAAACTAGCTTTTTCCATACAAAATATGATGATTACGATACTTTACGGAGCTGTCAAAAATTCGTGTTTGGGCCCCTGATCCACTTCTCTACCACATGGAACCCCGGAATCTTACGAACGGCGCGCCACGGGTATCGCCAGCATCTATAGATAGGCTATGGTGGCCGCTTACTATCAGTCGGGCCATAGATATGCTTGTTTGCCACCCATTTAACGTGTAAATTCTTCAAACATTTTAATCGAAGCATTGATTTCTTATCCCTAAACAAAGCGAATAAAAACCAACTCGTATGAAACTTTAAAGTAGATTTTTGAATAATTAGACTTTTAGGCAACGATATTAATAACCCTTAAATGATGCATCACAAGCCAGGGCCGGATTTAGAGGTCCAGAGGCCTCGGGGCAACAGAGGAGCGGAGGCCCCCTCACCCCAAATTATTTTCCAAATAAAGTAAACAATGTTAGATGTACAAAGCACTGTAGGCTGTAGGTAAAGGTAAAACAGCAAAAAAAAATATCAAAGGAAAAGATGTTTACTAGTGTTTACTAGTTGGAATTTGAAAGTTTTTTTTTTTGAAGTCTCTATTGTGGGGGCCTTTCGCCCGGTTGCCCTCCCCTAAATCCGGTAGTGTCACGAGCGCTCAAATGTGTCCCCATCAAGTTGTGCTTGAATACCGCGAAAGCACCATGTTCTTCGTTTTTGCGTTGGATCTCGGATCATATTAGATTGTTGCATTTGGTTTCGTTTGTATCATCCGAATCGATTTATCAAAAAACCGAGATAATCTTAGAAAAACACTAAATCCTGAATCCGTAGTTGTAGTAATAAATGATGACAACGCGACGATAGCATCTGACACAAAAGCAGCAGTCATATCTCTGTGACGTGCAGTCTCTTTCGTTCTTTAGGTGAACGAGACCGCAACATAATATGGACTTAGATAAAACTAGTTTTAACGGGTTAATGCACGAAATTTATTTATTTATTGACTATTAATAAATAATTATTAATTAAATAAAAAATCATTCTGACGAAGCAGCCTGAAAAGGCTGCGAAACATCAATAAATAAATAAAGTTTCGTGCATTAACCCGTTGAAACTAGTTTTATTTAATGAGTGATGTGCGTGAAAACTTAAGAAACAAATATGGACTTAGATTTTTATTTTCGCGATAAAAAAAAGTTGATAGAAACGTAAAACCCGTCGAAAATAATACTGAATAGGAAAAAAAGTATTCTTCCAAAAAAGTAGCTCCAAATTACTAAGATACCTACTGAAAAAAAGTATTTAAATATAAGATGAATTTCAAAAGAGTATTTGAAATATGTATTTTGTATCTGTATCTTAGATAAGTCACATTTCCGAGTGTAAAGTAATAAATTTATAAGCATAGACCAAAAGGAATTCTATTTTCCGCTAAATCGCTGGTGAATATTGAAAATAATGAAGCATAATAAAAAACACAAACTGTATTTATATTATTTATTTCAGCACTATAAATTTGGCAGATCCAGAATCCCCGGATGACTTACTAACTAATGAAGATACCTGACTGTAAATATATGAGAAATAATCATTGTTGTCAATTAGTTATTATCTATAAATTTGTTGTACATGATGTATTACTTTATTTTATGTAAAATTGTTGTTCTAAATAGTACCTAATAAATTTTCTCGAATATGAATACGCTCCTGTTTGACTCTAATTAAATCTTTAACTAAGGTAATATATCTTCGATGTGCTTTTATCAAGAATGAAAGGTACACCGTAAATATGGGCAGAAAGAAGACTAGGTGTAGAAAAAAGATTGAATGAGTGTGTAAGGAAAAATTTTAGGTGTATAATAATGAATCAACGCTCGCAGACTATGTTCATATTGCGAAAGTAAGGAAAAGTCTTGTCTTCACAGCCGACACATGCCGACAGCAGACATGAAAAAATTACGAGCGAAATACTGATGACGAAACAAAATACGACACGGATGAAGCGAAACATGTGTGTGAAGGAAGACTAAGAACGAGTTTGACTTTTGGAGACCACTTCTTGAAATGACTGCCTCTTCATACGGCCATTTCAGCTTCGGACTACCTCGTAATATGACTGTTTCAGCCTTGAAGCGAAATAGGTATGGTTGAGGGTAACGTCGGAAAACCCTTTTCCGTAGCAGTTTTCGATACTTTATTGTCAGGATAAAGACTGATCACGACACACGACTGATTTGACGACGCAGCACCTGAACTAACATTGTCATGGTACGACGCGGCACCGTAATGAGTGTCCGCTCAACATGACACAGCATCGTATATCAGCACGATCCTTTTATGGAGATATTACAGCAGGCATTGCTAAATGGTTGAGAGCATTGTTTCTGCCATCAACTACAATAAAGCGCTTTGCAGACGGCGGGGCGGAGCGGGCCGGTCAATTTCGCCGCGAACGATAGCACAAAGTGAATCCTATACTACAAACGCACACAGAGGGCAAAAAGACCGCGCCGCAGCTGCCCGGCGGGCACTGCGGCGCGGCATGTCCGCGGCTGCCCGCCGTGGATCATACAAACCAGTTTATATGCAGTAAAGACGGCGGCGCGGGGCGGCTAGCTCAGTCCGCACCACGCGCTTTTTAGTGATGATGATATACACTAGAACGAACGTCCTGAACTGACTGCCTCTGCCCGTCGTGTGCTTTGTGTACGCGGCGAGGGCAGCCGCAGACATCGACAGGCAGACGCGGTTTTTATTGCTTCGCGGACAAAAATCCCGCCCCGCCCCTTCGTCTGCACAGCGCCTAATAGATCCATGACTGGTACTAACATTTGTACTCATCACAACCGGTGTTACGATATTGATCAAATTGTAAAATTTTAAAAATTAGACAAATTGGTAATTCCTTAAATTAAGTAATTTTCCAAATACTATTCCATTCCAGAGTTCAATTCCCTGTGCAGTTGCTGTAAAGTTTATCTAGGCGGAAAATACTAGCCAGATAGAAGTAAAGTCAGAAGCATAATATGTCATGTTTCTGCCCATCTACTATGTTTCATTTCATTTTACTTCATTATTTGTATATATTAATATGTTATTTATGTGGCTTCGGTTTGCTGAATTTTATAAATGGCTTCTACTACTAGACTGATTCTGTGTTTATATTTATAGATACTGTAAAAGGTCAAAAACATACTATTTTATTCTTTTTTCCTGTTACCTGGACTTTAATTACATTTGATCAATTACCAATTTGTCTAAATTTCTAATTTGTCAATTTGACCAATGTCATAAGACCCACATGTACCTACATTTATACTGTGTTTCAAACCCAGGACCTTTCAATTCATACTAGCGTAGAGTTGAAGCGCATCAAACGGTTCAAATCCGGCACACTTATGGTCAACTAGAGATCGCCCGCGACTTCGTCTGCGTTAACTTAGTTTCTTGAAAATCCCTCTGGAACCTAACATTTTTTCGGGATAAAAGTAGCCTATGTGTTATTCTAGGGTGTCAACTAACTCCATACCAAATTTTATTAAAATCGCTCCAGCCGTTTAGACGTGAAGAAGTAACAAACATACACACTCACATACTCACAAACTTTCGCCTTTATAATATTAGTGTGATTAGTGTGATAATATTAGTGTGATTCATACTGGCGCAGACAAAAAGCAGATGCTCGAATATGATTATCAGCTCAGAAGCAATATGTGCATTACGTTGTGGAGATAAGGGTGAATTTGCTATGTTACTAATTTAATTTTTTAATGCTGCTTTTATGAGCTTTGACTCTGCGCTAGTATGTACTGACCATTAGACCAAAAGGTTAGACCCTGCTATTGCATCACAATTAAACATACCATCAATACTACTCCTGTTTTAGTAATCAATTAAAAATGAAACAAAATCACTGCACTGAACATTTATTAATTCCCATTTTTTATAAAATGTCTGAATTACAGAAAACTGGAATGAAGTGCCAAAGGAAACTTTATTTGATAAAATTTATTTCCACTTATCTAATTCAATTAAGTTATAAAACTCAATGAAATTACTTGTCTCTTACTTTGATAAGATCATTTAGATCTAACGCTACACATATTTCCTTAGAATCTGTACGTGGGTTTCGATCCAAAATTTCTGTTATGGGATAGTAATTATCTCTGTTGTCAACATTCCATCCAGAATACTGAAAAGAAAACAGTATTTAATATTATAGAAATCAATAAATGGAAGCTTAAAGGACATTGGGCAAAAATCTATGGACTGTACCCATGTCTGCCATGGGTTTAACTACATTTGTTTGAAAGGTATTATAGTCATGATTATCTGTGCCAAAGGGCATCAAATTCTATTCCGGGGGTCTTTACCTATTTTAAGTTAAATAGGTACAAGTACTATAACATTTATTTCATTACAAATATTTTGAATCTTTGTCAAATATCACAGTGTCTGTCTAAGAAAAGAGCCTGTCTGTCAATATTATCCTCATGTCTTGCCAGACCTAAAAACCATATACCAACATAACATGAGCCACTAACTACTTGGTAGTGTATGAGATTTCTATTTATCTCGTATCATGTATAGAGACTGCTAAATGTCAAAGGTAAGAGTTCTCATATATTTGGCAACCTGCGCGGCGCGGCCGCGCCCTCGGCTACACAGGCCGTCGGACAACACCTTTAGGTAATTTAGCTTTATCGCAAAATAATGAAGAAACTACCTATACTAGAGGCAACAAAGTATTAATGACTTTAATATGTATGTGTAATGATTGTAATAATAGGTACTTACTAGGCTTGTTCCAATATTGTAAATAGTAGTAGGGGAGCTTAAGCAGAGATTTTTGGATTTACTCGAGCGCAAAAGAATAACAAAAGGCAACCTTACACCTAGTTAAGCACTCCCACCACACCTGAGCCCTCAATGTAGGGCCAAACGTTTATCACAGCAAAAAAATATTTCAACTAACATCCATGACTTTAGGTAGGAAGATTCACTGTACTTTAATATGCCCATGTGCATATCTTTCAACCACCAGGATGTTTTTTTTACTGTGTTATAATAAAAAAGGCTAATTATACATAGATCTTTCGATCCATACTAATTACATTGTTGGTGGACCAGGGTGTTTTTTGCCCATGGTCCTTTATAACAATAACTAAGTGTTATGGAGCAAGGATGTGGGACATTTGTATCTGCATCAGTACTTGGGATTGCCTTTCACATGGATTCAGATTATATTATTATTAATATGGATGCACTTAAATGTGAATAAATCCGTATTTACAGAATTCCTTGCTCCTATTTAAGCTAAAAGTCTGATATGTACTTCCTCTCCTATTTTGCTGGAGGTCTAAACTTCCAGCAAAATCTATTTATTACAACACTTAGTTTAAGCATTGATGGGACCAAGTATTTTATTGAACTTTTCATGATTCACAAAAATTGTGACATAACACAGGAAAAGTAAAACATATATTAACTTACCACACAAGTACACTTGTGTAAAATCTTTCCATTTGACTCCATTGGAATAAACTTTTGGAGCAAAGCTTTTCCATCTATTTTCCACAAATTCAGTTCATCCAGCTTAGATATCACTGTGTCTCCATCCCACTTGACATCCGATTTCAATAAAACAAAGTTACCAGACTAAAAGAAACAGTATAAATTAACAAAAATAACTCACAAGTATTATATAAAAATATATGTCAATATTCATATCATGCTTACATGAAAATGCTTTGGTACATCCTTAGATTGGCTGGAATCAGACTTATTCCCATCTGATCCATTCTTTTCATCATCAGAACCTTCTTCTTCGTCTAATTCTCCCTCTTCATCTTCACCTTCACCTTCCTCATCCTCCTCGCCTTCTCCTTCACTTTCTTCTGATGATTCTTCATTCTTGCGTTTCTTTTTAGTGTTGTTCAATGCTGGCTTAGATGTACGTTTTCGCCCTGCACGGGCCGCAGGTTGTTCATTCTATTGAAAACATATCAGTTCTAAATTATGCTTTGTTTTGGAGCGGCAAGTATTGGTCTGCGCGCTATAACAAGCTAACAAAACCAATATAACCTTAGCAACTTGGTATTCTCAGTGTTAATTATCCTTTAATTTCCAACAGAATGCTTTCAAAGTAATGTTAAATTAATCACCGTGGGTTGAAAATAGTATTAAAACATGATTGTTTTACCGAATCAGCATCCGGCGTCCAATCTTCCCCCGAATCTTGAAATTCTTCTGGTTCAGCTCCTGGCTCCGATCCATCAGATTCGTCGTCTTTTTTTACGGACTTACGTTTACGCATTTTTTAAATGTTGAAATAGAAACTTAGAATCTGAAAAACGGCTATCAAACCCACGCTGCTTCAAATTATCAAACGCACCCCCAAGCAACCAAATCGAGTCGCAAAGTAGCAAAAGCAAGCAATAGGGATGTAACGACTATCGATGTTTTTAATAAAAAAAAATACAAAAGTGATCTCTGTCCCACAATATAAGTCATAGTAATATAATGGTGTCGATTCTAGCATGATTCTCTAAACCTAAACTTAAATTTGACAGCAGTATATCCTTGTCATTCTCTATACAGAATGAAAAGGACAGACTGATGTTAAATTTAGTTTTAAGTTTAGAGAATCACGCCAGAATCGGCACCACTAGCTAGCATTTTCATTTCTTTTATTAAAAGTAACCA